AGGATTACAGGCGTGAGCCACCGCGCCCGGCTTGGCACCAGGATTTTTTAAACACTCCAAATAGGCGAGGTGGCTCACACCGGTAATCCTAGCACTCTGGGAGGCCGAGGCAGGAGAATCACTCTCTACTCTTCTTCCAACAGTGTCCTGGAAGGATTATGTCAGTCAGTTCTTCTGCCCTCTGACTCCCATTGGTTTGGCCAGTGGGGCCTTTGGAGAGCAGAAGGTGGGAGGAGGAGAGACTGGATATGTATTCTTCTGCGGTGACCTGCTTGTCTGTGGCTGCATTCCTCACGCAGCTCAGGTCAGGCTCTCTCATTGCTAGAGTTTCTCAATGGGCTCCAAGAACAGCTCTCAACTCTTGCCCCATCAGAACTAGGGGTAAGCACTTCCCACTATTGCCAGTCCCTCAGTAATTCACTATCCATATTGGTTCCCTTTACCCTGTCCCTTCCATAGTGCATTTTCCCTTCATTTATCTCCCTGACCCTGTGTCATTCGTTTCCTGCTAGACTCTGACTTGACACAGATGGTGTCTCCATTGGGAATGAATTTGGCTTCAATAGCAGAAAGCCTGGCAAACAGTGGCTTAAACAATAGGATATTTTGGGCCGGGCGCGGTGGCTCACGCCTGTAATCCTAGCTCTTGGGAGGCCGAGGCGGGCGGATTGCTCAAGGTCAGGAGTTCAAAACCAGCCTGAGCAAGAGCGAGACCCCGTCTCTACTATAAATAGAAAGAAATTAATTGGCCAACTGATATATATATATATAAAAAATTAGCCGGGCATGGTGGCGCATGCCTGTAGTCCCAGCTACTCGGGAGGCTGAGGCAGAAGGATCGCTCGAGCCCAGGAGTTTGAGGTTGCTGTGAGCTAGGCTGACGCCACGGCACTCACTCTAGCCTGGACAACAAAGTGAGACTCTGTCTCAAAAAAAAAAACAACAAAAAAAAACAATAGGATATTTTATCCACATAATGAGAAGTCTGGGGGTAGCAGTTCCAGGCTGGTGCAAAAGCCTCGTGCTGCCTTTATAGCCAAGCTCTACCCTTCCCTCTGCTTTCCTTTAACATATTGGCTTTTATCTCCTGTTTCGCCTCAGAGTCACAAGATGCTGCCTAGCTCCAGACATCCCACCTATCTCCAAGGTACGAAGAAGAGCAAAAGGACCATGCCATGCCAACTGTGTCTCTTTTGCCCCAATCTTCTCTGGACTTCTATTTGGGTCATAAATGGATCCTAGAGCCACTCCTAGATTCGAGAGTGGCTGAGAAATTGGGGAACAGTCATGATTGGGTTAGGCAAATTATGATTTATTGCTTGGGGCAGAGTACATTGCATCATCCCTTTAACAAAGGAGAACAGGGAGCATTGGCACTTGGTGGACTATGAATACTAACAGCAGCAGCGAAGCTTCCTAAGGCTGGGGATGTTGCCTGTCCCCAACGTAATGGTGAACAGATAACTGAGACAGACAGGTGGATAAGAGTGTCTGCAGCCAACAATATAGGTTTTAGGGACTGATTCACATCTAGTTCCCCACTTTGGTGAGGATTATTGAGACCACAGGTAGAGACAAATCCTAGACAAGGCCAGAAGACTCCTCTGCAAAGTCTTCCATTGTGGCCTTGGAATGTCTCTCCCCTTCTCCATGTGCCCAAGCTTCATATGATACTTCTGCTAAACCCCTGACCCCACTGTATTGCAATTATCTTTCCACACTAGGCTGTCTTCACCCACTAGACTGGGGTTACTTGGGGACAGGAATCTTGTCCTGTTTGTGTTTGGGACCCCTTGCCCAATTAGTGCCTGACATATAATAACAAATGCTCCATAAGGGTTTGTTGACTGAGCGACTGATTAGATAAAGGAATGGGAGTTGGATTGTCCTACCTACCTTAATATGTTGTGTGACCTTGGGCAAATAACCTCTCTGAACCCAGTACCTTATCTGTCAATTTAAGAGACTTGCACTAGAAGATCTCTAAGACTTCTTCTCACTCACTCTGACATTTGGTGATTGTTAACTCCCACCGTGAACCACAGAACTTCTACTTCTGGAGTTATTTATTTGGGTTGAGGCACTATCTATCCAGATATCTCTTATTACAATGCACATACACCATATGAGGAAGTTATCATAGTAAAAAATCCATCAGCATCAGAGGAAAAGTCTCTGGTGTTTGTGATTAGCTGGTTTCAGGGAAGTGTCTTGAAAGAATGAAGCACAGGAGAGAGAAGTTTTGATGTGGGTAGGAAAGAAAGAACGTCTGAAGCAAGGTATACTGTCCAGGTACTTTGGGACTGGTTGAGATTCTGCAAGAAATAGAGAGGAGGCAGGGGGCCTGGCTAACTAGAATTATGGACAGTGGGGAATTGTGGGTCCACAGAAAGGTACCAAAGAAAATGCCATCGATGTGCTCAGTCTAGCAAAATATCTAAACACATATGAACTAGGCTATGTGTGGCAGAGGGGCCGCGGGACAGGGATGGAGCAAGAGTTGATGCTTTGCTCCAAGCAGGATGGACAAAGGACTGATGGGAGACCCCTCTGGCTAGCCGGTTGTCAAGATGTGTCCTGCAGCCATCAGTCTTCTGTGAAACCCCGTGGGATGGTCCTTAGGGTCCTGTATGGCAGACTGAACTAGAGAGGAAGAGCCTGTCCCCCATACCTTCCAGATCCTCCCCCCAGCATGGCACGCACAGGGGGAAGTCATACACAAGGCAAGTGGCACTCTTCTCAAGGTGCCTACTTTTGTCTTTTTGTATAACTTGTCACATTCTCTCCCCCTCACAGATATTTTTGCCTTGAGTATAATGCTATTAATTTATTATTAGTCACTTGCCATGGGTAATCCAATTTTTTTTAACCCTAGGTACATTGGATTAATCATAGTCTTTTATCTATAACACTCTCTTTTTAATGGTCCAGGCATGGCCTGTCTTTGTGTTTATTTATTTATTTATTTGTTTCAAAATAACATAAGAAACACTCACGAACTACTCCCCAGCACTAGAACCAAAACACAGAGCATATCCACATCGACTTGTGTGCTCCTCCTTTGTCCTATCCCTCCACCTGCTCTGCTACCCCACGTAGATTATTTTTAAAATTTGATCTCTTAAATTGTGCAAGGTAGGAGGCTATGAGCGGGTGTAGGGCTTAAGAACGATCACAAACTACCGCAGTTTATTCACCAGGACCCAAGCCAGCACTGCCACATCCTAACTGGCTGAATTTGCTTGTGTCCAGAGGGACCGGAGCCTCAGTCAACAACACATGTTCACGGCATTGTGGCTGGAGTTGCCAACTTGCAGTGAAGAAAGGTTGTCCACAAAAATATTGCATATCGTTTTAAAATTTCATCTAAGCCAAGGTTTCCCCACTTTGGCACTGCTGACACAGTGGGTTGGATAATTCTTTGTTGTGAGGGCCACCCTCTCCATCGCAGGATGATTAGCAAAACACCTGGCCTCTACCCAGTAGATGCCAGTAGCACCCCCCAGTTCAGCAAATTCTGCAAAAATGTCCCCCAAATACAATGCCCTTCCCTAAAAGAAAATGCACACACATCTGGTGCTGTAGTGCCTTGCCACACAGTGTGATCCTCAAACTAGCAGCCTGAAGAACACCTGGAAACTCACTAGAAATGCAGAATCTCAGGTCCCACTCCATATCTATGAACCAGGACCTGCATTTTAACAAAATCCCCAGGAGATTCATCTATACAATGAGATTACACAAATTGCATTTCCGTGAATAAAGTGGGCCCAGATGCAGTATTTCTCAATGCAGGGTGGGGGGGTGACAGGAGATGGGGGGGCATTATTGCCATTTGGGGTAAGACAATCTGTTGTTGTGAGGGATTGTCCCCACTTTGCAGAAGACCCTGTTCCATCCACATTAAATGCTCACGGTGCTCTTCTTCGCAGTACTCAAGACAACCAGAAATACCCACGAACGCCTTCTGGGGGCAGAACAACCTTAGGGTGTGAACCCCTGGAAAGGAGTGTTTCTTGCAGCAAGGTGGGTCCCTCCACTCATAAGACCTTGGGTGAATGCAACTTGCCTGAAAATAGGGCTGGCTGTCTGCAGATGGGTCTAAGCGGGTGAGGAAAGATGCAGGAATTAACACATCACAGTTTCATCATGTCCTCAAGGGGTGGGGGTGCAGGGAGATGCCAGGTGATGAGGCAGGGCCATGAGTCCAGCATACCCCTCCTCAATGTCCCAGGTGGGGCAGCAAGGAGTGAAGCAGAGGAGATATAGGAGCCCTGGGGGAGAGGCAGGAGCTGCAAAGTGCAGCCCAACCAGTCTGACCAGCTGGGCCAGTTCACCCTGGTCCTGGCAGCCTCAATGGTCTAGTCAGGATAAACCGGATAAATGGAGAGTTGTGTCTGGGGTGAGGAGGGGAATGCATACACATGGGCAAGGGGGCCACTGTGTGCCCCATCCCCTTACCTGGGACAAGGGTAAGGGATCTGCAGACTCTTCCCAGAAGTAGGAGGAGTAGGTGGCCCCACAGCTAGAAAACTTGAAAGCTCAGAGGGAAGAGCTCCAGCTTCCAGACTGCAGCTGGACGCCTGCCCTAGACTGGGACCAGAAGGAGCTGGGTTTGCCCTCTGACCTTGCTGCTTGCCAGGCAGGTGAGCCAGGGGCACCACCCCCTGCCAGGTGCCCAGAGGCCCAGTGCACTGTCCATTCTCTTGCCTCCTGAGTTCCTTCTGTGGCACTCCTTCCCCCTGCTCTCCTTTTAGTAACTCCTCCTTTTTTCGAGCTCCTCGCCCCTTGGCAGGGCCTTTCTAACCTCCCCTTCTCTCAGCCCCCAGGCTCAGCTAGCAGAAGGACCTCATCCTCTTTTGAGTTCCCCTAACTCCAGGAACATACCAGGGTTATGGCTTATATGCTGTTATGTCACAGATTGCTTTTGTGATAGCAAAAGGACTGGTGCTTTTTTCACATTTATATCCTTGGTGCCTGGCACAGCACTTGACACAAGATATTTAATAAATATTTATTGAATGCATGAAGGACATCCTAGAGTGCTTGGTCTAACAAGACCATGTGCTAGCTATTCTCTTTGGTTCATTTCTGTTAGTCAGTCAGTCAGTTAACCAACGTTTATTGAACACCTGCTTCGGGTCAGGTCCTAGAAAGGAAGAGTCAGAACTGACACCCCCTGTCCCATGACTCTTACTCTCCACTGAGGGAAATTCCGTGGAACCCCTGGAGCCTCTGCTAGAATGAGGTCAGCTGGTCCAATTTCTTTGTTTACAGTTGAGGAGGAAACTGCAGCCTGTCGCTGGGAGGGATGAGCCTCTCTCCCACTTGTCTGTGTAGTGGGGTCTTCCCCGTGACAGCTGCCGCAGGTAATCCGTGTTCAGAGTCAGGGTCTGGACACACATCTCACAGTTGGTAGAAGTGAGCCTCTCAAACACAACAGTTCCCCTGCTGAAAACACAGGGGCCCAGAGCTAGCTGACATCCCTGCCTCTTCTGTTGGGTGCTCACTGCCTCACAGTGGGACTGGATGGAAAGTCAGAAACAGGCTCAGATTCATCCCTACAGGTTTGCAGGCCTCCACTTTGTCTTCTTTGGCTGTTAGACAGGTTTCTAATTCTGCTTGTCACCAGATTCTTTTCTCCTTGCTTTAGCTTGAGGGCCTGCGTTGGAAGACAGGCATGGAAATGCCCAGAGGCAACGACTCTCAAAGACCTACAGGAGAAGAAGGGAAACTTGTGTGGTTCTGTCCCGGCTCAAGAGACCGGGCCCTCAGCTTTGACATGTTCAAGCCCAGGGGTGAGCCTGGAATTCTGAAATGGGACCAGTTCCTCCAAAGTTGTTCTAGAGTCCCAAATTCAGATTTCCCACTGGCCCTCAGTTTCCCAGGGTTGTTTTAAGAAAGGAAGAATGTTGGCAAATTCTGGCTGGGAACTCCCACCTCCAGGTAAAACTAAAAAAAACGACAGTCTTTAGGGAAGAGGGTAAAGGTGGGAACAGAGGCTAAATAGCTTGTCACCTCCCTTAATTCTTAGTCTAGCTATGGCCAGCTTAGTTCCCACATTCAACCAAACTAACTTGTTTCCAATCATCTGGCACCCTCCCAGCCTGGGGGCCTCTGATTCCAGCCTTTCCTTGGAAGAGCAGCTGTGGAGCCCAGATCTGCAAGAAAGACTCCTGGCTGGGCCCCTCAGAACGTCAGAAGCAAACTTTCCATCATCTGCACTAAGCCCCAGGAGGCAATATCTGAGAGTGGAAGAGAGGAAGCCTGCTCCGAAGAAAAGCAATGGGAGCTCGGGCATATCCACCCCCAGGCACTCCATCTTCCTGTCAGCTTCCCACCTTGGTTGGCTCAGCCAGGAACCATCCCTACCACTCAACTACCTTCAGATCCTAACCTGCTCCAGTAAGGATAGAGCAGTACATAACTCATTTCCTCAGGTGTCAGAGCTGTGGAGTTACATAAACGCTAGTCATGAAAATTCCACTGGCTCTTCCGTAGGCCCTCCAGTCCCAAGGCTGTGGCTAGTGCACATGGCTTTGTGTGAATCAGAAAAAGGAGGCCCCTCTGGGCAGATGCACTTTTGAAGGTGCCTCCTCTTAGTGGACAAAGCAGGAAAGTGTCCCCATTTGTGTCATTAGCCAGGCACTCTCTGGTGCAGTATGATTTGCACAACTGACTATCTATATGACTCTGAATAAGCCACCTTTTCAAAACCTCCCCCAGGTGGTCTGGGTGTTTTCCAGGGCTCTGGTACAGCCCCCTCAATTACCACCCAGCATCTGCCTTGCCTTCCTTTCCTGCCCCAGTCCCCTGGTTCACGGCCTCTGTCTCTGAGGCCACAGGAGGACATATTGCTTCTGCTGGTGGCTGCTGTGGGGTGCTGATGTCCTGCCCCAGGGGCGCCTCCTGATGCTCTTAGAATGGCCAAGTGTGGCTGTGCCCTCGGCACCTGGTCATGCAGGCAGTGCTGCTGGGGGCTGGCATCACACAGAACCAGCTCCCATGGCCACTGCCTCAGGCCATCTCTTCACAAAACCCACAAGTTCTTGGGACCAGGAGCAAGAGTCACTATCCAAGGTGGCTATCATGTGGCCCTCCCCATTCCATTTCCCCACAAGTCCATGGACAAACTCTCCTGCTTTCACCATTCCTCTTTCTCAAGGGCAAATAAAATTGCCCACCAGGGGCCCCACGCATAAGTCTGTGGGACATATCTTACACATGGGAGTGAGTGAGCTCTTCCTCCATTGTCACCTCCATGGGTGACTCTCATCGTCACTTTACTTCTTTGAGTTTGGATGACCTTGTGTGTAAAATGAGCACAATCATGAACACCTGGGAACTCTCTAAGATTCTCCAAGACCTTCCTGGAACACAAAACTCTGGTCAGAATAATGGTAGAGATGGGGCACAGTGGCTCACGCCTGTAATCCTAGCCTTCTGGGAGGCCGAGGCGGGCGGATCGTTTGAGCTCAAGAGTTCAAGACCAGCCTGAGCAAGAGTGAGACCCCGTCTCTACTAAAAATAGAAAGAAATTAATTGGGCAACTAAAAATATATAGAAAAAATTAGCCGGGCATGGTGGCGCATACCTGTAGCCCAGCTACTTGGGAGGCTGAGACAGGAGGATAGCTTGAGCCCAGGAGTTTCAGGTTCCTGTGAGCTAGGCTGACACCACAGCACTCTAGCCAGGGCAACAAGAGTGAGAAGAGTATCTCCATAAAAGAAAAAGAAGAAAAAAATGAATAATGATAGGGCACAATAGCCTAATTTTGCACTCCCTATTAGCTACATAGCTTAACTCCACATCTTACCTATTTCTTAACAATGCTGCCATATGATTGCTATAAGCTTATGGCCCATTCTCACCTTTTGGTTCTTTTCTGCCATATGCAGGAAAGAGGGTAACTGGCATCTCCCCATTTTGCATGTATATTTATTACATATATCAGTGTGGAAATTCTGGGTCAGGCTATTTCCACTGTTTTGTGAAGACCATGAAAGGTAGGGTATGCCTACAGAAAAGGAGAAGCATAGTCCGGAAGGGAGTTCCCATGGAACCTAAAAGAGAAACCTAGTTCCTTGGAGAGCTCCCTAGTACCCAGCAACAGCTATTGTGAGATGCAGCTGGGCAGCAGCCGGCAGCCCCCAGCTCAAGCTAATGCATCTTTTCACCTTTCGCCTCCCCTCCCCCTGGCAACACAAGTTGGTTTGCTTTATTATGCCTCCTTCTCATTGGTTCTTTCACCCGAAGACACCTAATCACTGGTAAATTCAAGATCCAGCTGCTGTTCTGATGGGCTGATTGTTGCTGGGGTGAAGACCAGCATGGTGATGCTGTTTTCCCAGATGTGGTATCCTCTGGCCCTGAACCGCCCCTCCCTGCTAATTCTGTCCCCCTTGACCTTCCTCCCATCCCCAGATAGTCAGTCCTTCCTTCCTTCTGTGGTTGTGCAGTAAACAAGTAGTCAGACCAAGGGTTCCCTGGAGACCCAAAGGCTTTTTTTTTTTAAATCTTTAGAGTGCTTGGCCTGCTAAAGCTAGAGTTTGTGTAATCTACGAAGACAAGGCAAAGTTGGGGGAAATCAGCCTTTGCATAATTAAGAACACATGCATATCCACAAGAGCAAGCAAGAGATCATAGACTTTCTGACAACTAAATCCATCTAAAAGCCACTGATGCAGGTAGGATTGGCTTTGATGTGAAGTACATGCATAAAATGGAGGGGCTTGCTAGAACAGTTCCATGCAGTCAACAGTTGCCATTGTGCCTGACATTGCACCATGAAGATTCGTTCCTTTATAAATTTTCTTCTCTTGGAGCCTCCTATTAAAATAAAAAGAGCCCCGGAGGAGCAATATGTGGAGTAGCACATCCCAAAATCTGTTCTGAAAGAAGATGAGTGGAAAGGTTTCTTTATGGTCAAATAAATTTAGAGACACCACATATTTTAACATGCCCTGTGGTAGGCAGAATAACGGCCCCCAAAGATGTCCATGTCCTAACCCACAGAACTTGTGAATATGTTACCTTTTGTGGCAAAAGGGATCTGGGAGATGTGATTAAGGTTCAAGACCTTAAGATGGAAAGGGTATACTAGATTATCCAGCTGAATCCAATCTAATCACATGAGCCCTTAAAAGCAGAGGAAGTTTTCTGACTATGGTCAGAGAAAGAGAGGTGACAATGGAAGCTGCGCCAGAGAGATGCTATGTTCTTAGCTTTGAAGATGGAGGACGGGGACTACAAGCCAAGGAACATCAGTGAATGCCTCTAGAAACAGGAAAAAAAGAAACAAATTCTCCCAGAGAGACTCCAGAAAGAAACATGGCCCTGCCAATGGCTTGTTTAGCCTAGTGAGACCTGTGTCAAACTTCTGACCTATCAAACTGTAAAACAATAACTGTGTGTTGTTTTAAACTACTGAGTTTGTGATAGTTTGTTACGGCATCAGTACAAAACAAATAACCCCCTACCTCCTTGAAGATTCATGGTGCACTTTGGCATATTAAGGGCCCTAGGGAGCTTTTCATTTAACCCAGAAACTTAATTGAACACCTCTTACTCCCCTGTAACAGCTATTAACATTTTAGAACATGAAGTGAAAAATATCACATCACAGCATTAACTGTTATTAACATCTAAGTGTGATTTACTTCCTATGTTTTCAATGATAGGTGAGAGAATGGGACACAGGACAGGTAAGTTTTGATCAGCCAGCATGGAAGTCTAAAGAGGTGAGGCCTGGGTGGGAGAACTCACTGGAGAGTAGTGAATAGATAGGAGGTGGACATATGCTATAGAAAAACTTCAGCTGCTACACAACTTGTGCTAAAAAATTTGTGCCAAGTCTTCCTTGCCCTTCCAGTTCATCATCTTCTCTAGGAAATTGTCCCTGACTTCCTCTTCCCCAGGACTAGATTGGAAGCCTCTCCCTTATTTATTTCTCTCTCCCTGCATTTATTTATCTCTGGCTGTGGCAACAAAGGACTGAAATCACGTTTATTTGTTTGTTTTCTCTCATTAGCTTGAAGTTCCTAGAGTGCAAATTCACTGTTCATATCTTTTGTGTCCCACCTAGGCTCACCATATTGAAGCACTCAAGTTGAGCCTTAGTCTCATCCTCTTTCCACCATAAATGTGTATGAGCTTAATCTTGACTTTCCTCATAATTGGTGGGTGCAGTTAGACCCAATACTGTGACCTGGGCCCTGTGCTAGCCATCCAGCCACAGTCCAGCCTAACAACTCGTGTTCCAAATAAGACCCACAGAGCACCTTCTGTCATGAGTTTTGGTTTTTTGAGGCCAGGCAAGGTGGTTCACGCCTGTCCTCCTAACACTCTGGGAGGCTGAGGCGGGCGGATTGCTGCAGGTCAGGAGTTCGAAACCAGCCTGAGCGAGACCCCGTCTCTACCAAAAATAGGAATAAATTAATTGACCAACTAAAAATATATGTACAAAAAATTAGCCGGGCATGGTGGCGCATGCCTGTAGTCCCAGCTACTCGGGAGGCTGAGGCAGTGGGATCTCTGAGCCCAGGAGATTGAGGTTGCTGTGAACCAGGCTGATGCCATAGCACTCACTCTAGCCTGGGCAAGAAAGTGAGACTCTGTCTCAAAAAAATAATAATAATAATAATAAGTTTTGGGTTTTTTGTTTGTTTACCTACTTCATTTTTTTCCCCCTAGTGAAACAAGCAAGGTTTTTAACCTAAATGTGTTCTATATTGTATTAATACCACAATTTATAGAGCATCTGACTAGGCTACAGGAAAGACTGAGATTAAAAGAGCAAATACTACATTTCCAAGATAGTTTATAGAAAATGGTCAAAATTGAGACACTGTAGAGGTGAACAAGACACGCTGGGGAAAGGAAATGAAATGCTAGGTCAATACTGGTGTAAGGTAAGAGCTGAAGGGAGAATCCCACTTATCACATCTCTCAAAATCCAGGAAGGTTTCCTGGATGTAGAGGACTTGAAGTAAAAAGTAACTGAAATTTCCTTTGGGGAACTACCCCTTTCCCTCTCTCAGGCACCAGATGAAATCCATGACTTGGTCCTGAACAATCACAGCTCTGAATCCACTAGCCCCAGTGATTGTTTGGGAGGAAGGTATTAAACAAGGTGACTTCTGAATCTGAATTTGAACCAGGAAGGTTAAAGTTCAGAAGCTGTTACTCAATGGAAAATGACAATAAGCCAACAAGAAAAGCAGAGGTGAGAAATGGAGAGAGGCCCAGTCCACATGACTCTTGGAATAAGCTTCATCTGGTCTTTTATACATAAAAGCCAGTAAATTTCCTTTTCTCAGTAGGCCAGTTTGAGTTGGATTTCCATTCCTTTGCCATCAAGCGTCCTGATGATGCGGAGGAAAGAACGGCTTACATAACATGAACAAAGACAGAAAGCTGAGAACCAAGAATCAGGGAGTAGTGAACAACTACTCTCAGCACCAGCCTCTGGTTACTAGCACCTCTCCCACCATCCCCACAGTCTTAGAGGAGGAATCACCTGTACCTGGGCTTGTTTAAGACCCTGTTCCTCTGATCACAATTGAGCCATCACAGTTTCTTCCTCAGGAAATTGGAATTGGGACTAAGTGTCCAGTGTCAGTCAAGGCTGGTCTCCTGAAGGGGAAAAAGAGGTGAAACCTTAGGGGCCGTGGCATGGTTATGAACTGTGAACTGCGCAGAAGAGAAAGCAAGGCAATATCATCACTTTAAAGAAGAGGAAAATTGAGGGTCAGATAGATTCTGTGGCTTGCCCTTAGGCAACCTTAGTTGCACTTCAGCGTTCTCAAATTCAAGGGTGGGGCAGGAAACATCTGGGGCAGAAAGGCCTAAGAACCCTGGACCAGTGTGAGACTTGGGGCAGATAGCAGAGGGTATAGATAGCCTGGCCATCGCCTCAGAAGAGTGAGGCCAAGTGCAAGCACTCAAAGATAGCTCCCTACTCTCAAAAGATCAAAAAATACTGGTGCTTAAACTGTGCCTCACTCGGCTCAGAGACTTGCCTTACAGCCAGGACGCAAGGAGCATCTGTAGAGAATTCATTTCGCCTAAGCCTGCTGCACCTGGGTAGCCATTGATCACCCCACCCCCGCTACCCCGCAGAACTACAATTCCCATTATGCACCGCGACCGCTAGACCTAATCTCTGGATAAACTACAAGCCCCAGAATGCCTTGAGGGAGGGGAGAGAGTACGCAGGTGCAAAGGGGCGTAGCCACGTTGGCCGCGCGGGACCGTTAAATTTGAAACTTGGCGGCTAGGGATGTGAGCTTGATGTGGCTGGCGTGTAAGGGACTCGGGTGCGTTCCTTTGTTGCTTTGGTGGCTTTAAGGGCCAAGTTGCGTGGGAAAGCCTAGACGGTCTGCGGCTCTCAAGAACAGCCGTGGCAGGACGAGGGCCTGAGCCAGGAATGCAGGATGGCTGCGATAAAGAAAGAAGAGGGTGCTCTGAGGTAGGTACGGGAGAAGAGCTGCTGGGAGTTGGGCTTGAGAGACCCGAGGGTGCCTGGCAGGTGACAGACTGCTCAGTGCAGTCGAGGGAAGGACCAGCAAGGTCGAGAAGAGTAGGCCCCGCTGGATCCTCCTTCCCGTATGGAGTCGGACGCTAGGGGTGGAGGTGTAGACGCAAAGGGGCGAGGGCACCTGAGAATCCTGCTGCGTCCAGCTTCCTAGCAGAGGAGCCTGTGGGACCCTAGTGATACAAAGAGCTTGGAGTTTGTAATGTGCTCTGGGTTTGTATCTTAGCTCAGCCATTTGCTAGTTGTTCGTCCTTGGACGGGTATATATGGGAAATGCTGATATTAATGCTACTTTAAAGGGTTCTGGGAGAATTCAAAGTATTTGTAAAGTAATTGCTTCCAAATAAATGCTCAACGAATGGTAGGTGCTATCATTATGCCAATAGTGTAGAGATCTAAAAAGCCCTTCTGGGGAGAGGCTTTATACAAGGGCAATATACATAACCTTAACATTTGTACCCCCATAATAGGCTGAAATAAAAAATAAACAAATAAAAAGCCCTTCTCTTCAGGTTAGCTGATTTTCCTTATATAATATATATACATATACAACAGTTCTTCTAGGTTGAAATTTTGAATGCATTTTCATTATGGTGTCCACAGTACCTAGATAAAAGCAATGTCACCGGCTCTTTTATTCATGCAATAAATATTTATTGACTAAGCAGTGGGTGCAGCTGGTAAATAAAAGTCACAAAAATCTCAGTCCTCATGAAACTTAAGTTCTGGGATGGGATGAAGGGGGGTAGTCAAATAATAAGACAAACTAAAAGTTAGGTGGAGGTGGTGGTTAGTACTAAAAAAAAAAGTAAAGGAAGGAGGAATAGGGAGTGTTTGTGGTAGGCGTTGGTGCAATTTTAGATAGGTTTGAATGCAGGGCCTCGCTGCAGAGGCATCATTTGGGTGAAGACTTGCAGGAACCTCAAGTGCTAGTCATGCATGTATCTGGGGGAAGTACAAAGGCTGGGGGTGAGTATTGGGGGAGGAAGCTGCACCTGGTGTGTCCAAGGCCATTGTCACTGGAGCAGAATGAACTAGGAGGGTAAAAGGAGATTAAGTAAAAAGGTGAAGATGCAAGCATAGTAAAGACTTGGCTTTTTACTCTGATTGTATGGAAAGTCACTGGAAGGTTTTGAGCAGAGGAAAGACATGATCTGAATTGAGTTTAAATGGGATCACTTTGCCTGCATTGAATAGATTAAAGGCAGCAAAGGAAAGAAGCAGGGATACCAGTTAAGGGGTTATTGAAATAATCTAGGCATGAGAAAACGGTGGCTAGAGCCATGTGGAAAACAGTGGAAATGGTGAGAAGTGGTTGATTTCTAGATTTATTTTGAAGGTAGAACCAAATAGGGTTTGCTGACTACCTGAGGGGTATGAGAAGGACAGCAAGGTTGGCACCAAGAATTTTGGCTTAAGCAACTGCAATAATGGAGTGGACATTTATTGGAGGAAGGGGAAGAGACTATAAGAGGAGTAGGCCTGAGAGAAGGGAGGAAGTGGTCTTCAGTTCAGTTTGAGACATGTAACTGTAATTGCTATTTTTAAGAACAAGAGAAGAAATTCAGATGAATTCAACAAACATTACTCAGTGCATAACAGTGTTATATCCTATATTAGATCGTGGGGATACAAATATAAATGGCATGGCCCTTTCATTTACAGGGTTCGTACAATATACAGCAGGTCCTTGAATAATGTCATTTTGTTAAAACATTGATAAAAAATCAATTCCTAGCTGGGGCCGGTGTGTGTATGAAGTTTGCATGTCCCTATGTCTGCATGGGTTTCCTCGTACATCCCAAAGATGTGCCCCTTGGGTTGACTGGCATATCTGAATGGTCCCTATGTGAGTGTGGATGTGAGTGTGCTCTGTGATGACCCAGAGCCTTGCACTGGATTAAGTGGGTTGGAAAATGAAGGAATGAATACAAATTATGGTAAAATAAAAATTTGTATGGTAATAACCATATAAATACATGACTATAAACAATGTGGTATGAAAACACACAGTGAGCCCACTATATTTGTTATTGTTTGTTTTTGAACTTGTGGTGGTAAGAGGTGCTTCTTAAAATTTTCACTTTGCAAACATTTATTCCTTGATTGAAGCCTCCCGTACTATGAATGTTGTCATTCACCGATTCACCAAAATTGGGTAAATAATCATCTTTTTTCCATTAATCTTTCTTAACTGTATGTGTAGCTCACATTTATTTCAATGTTTAATATTAGAAGTGTTTTGAGTGTTTATTTAGAAGTTTGGTGATTTTTTTTATGACCAGAAATATGTTGTAGGAACTTAACCCTTGTTTATATCAATGGCCCTGTGGTAAAATTGGTTTCCTTATATGTTGTTTTGATTAAAGTTGCAGTTTCCCAGAAGCTATGGGTGGTATTAAGTACTTATTATAGTTAAAAAGATGTGACTGGTTACAACTCAAATTCACTTACAGTTACTTGAGAGTTTTCAGCTCTCATCTAAATTGAAGTCCCACATAATTTTCACTCTATTTTGAAGATTAGTTCTTATGTCTCTCTTTGTGTTTTAAACCCAAAAATAATGTCTCTTAATGAGAAATAGGGTTCTCTCTGACCATTGCAGAGCTCTGAAGTTTACATAATGGTGATTGCCTCTAAAAAGTTTTGGGGATTACCCCCCAATTCTTCATAGAATTGAGGGGGATAATTGTGACTAGTAAACTATTTTTGTCTGCTCCTGTTCTGAGCTACCTATATACACAAACTTTAGTTTTGAATCATCAGTTGAAACATGGGGTGTTAGTCTGAACAACACTGCTAATTTTAATTTAAACTAGATGATGCATTCAGTGGTAGATACAGAACTGCTTACTGCCTTTTAGTCTGCTTTGCCAAATTTATAACACTCTTTTTCCCTTTTCTTTCTGCCTTAAACTTTATTCTTATAGCACTGTACATAAGTTCTTTGCCAGTTCTTTCTTCCATTAGGCAATACTGTAGCCATAAACTTAGAAACCAGGTGATAGAAAGGCTCAGAAGCTTAGAAGTGTAATCCTACTACTAACGTGTCAGTCTACCATATTCAACCCAAAATCATGAACAGTTACATATCTGAAACAGTTATTATTATTTACAATAATCCAGCGCTATAATAAGTTAATGTTGGTGTGAGATTTACTTTTGTTTCCCTCTTCACAGTGAAGCCATGTCCCTGGAGGGAGATGAATGGGAGCTGAGTAAAGAAAATGTACAACCCTTAAGGCAAGGGCGGATTATGTCCACCCTTCAGGGAGCATTGGCACAGCAAGAATCTGCCTGTAACAATACTCTTCAGCAGCAAAAACGGTATGTAGAATGGTGGTTGGAACTCAACCTGTCATCATTCATCCGCAAGCCTGGTAGATAATGTGGGTGTGGATCCATGCAGCATGATGTAAGGAATACTCCTCAAAAATTGGTGATCTGAGAATCTGTTCTTCACTTTCTTTCTCATCACACCACAGCTTTCTGAAGATGTATGATGAAGAACAAGGGCTATAGGATTTAATTTCATTGTGGAGCAGCCAAATTATTTTATCAATAGAAATACATTTTATACAGGAGGCAAGAATAAGCATAGTAGAGCAAGTATTATGTTGCAGTGTTTGCCAAAAGTATTGTGTCATTCTGGACCCCTAAACAGACTTAACTCTTTGATTATAATCAATTAGATAGATTGCCTCCTTGGATTCTGAGTATGAGGGAGAATGAATCTGCTATCTTTTATGTGTACTCAATTGTTAACTTTCTTAGGAAGGTTTTGAGAATGTGACAAAAAGAAATTATGGTCTCCAAAGTTCATGTAAACCTCAGAGAAACTGAGGTTTCATTTATACTAGAAAGTTTTTCAATAATGATTTAACAAACTGGATAAATAAAAGCTGAAAAATACTCTAATTCAAATGGACCTATAGATTTTGCTCTTTTGACTAACACATATTTTGATAAGTATACTTTTTTAAAAACAGGTAATCTAAACAGTAATCTAAAGTATCAGATTCTCCTTCAATCTCTGACCAAAAAATTCTGCCATCTGGCAAATTAGCATAATTTGGGGTTCTAATATAA